GGTTGAAAATATTAATTTTGATTGAATTTATTTTTTGTTTGGTTGAAAAAAATATTTTTGATTGAAATTATTTTTTTTGATTGAAGATGCTTTTTGTTTGATTGAATAAAACACAAATTTACCTCCATAGAGTACAAGCTAATAGTGTGTCAGAATGGTATATATTTATACTTCTCATCCAAACACAATTAAATTCACTCTATCCAGGAGACACTATTTATCAGGAGAGGATTTTTAAGTAATAACTCAGAATAAAATAGAAGTAACAACTTTGTATTTCTTACCTTTGTAATAAATATAGTGAGTAGAAAGTACAGATAAATGTGTAAAAATGTAATGAGTAAAAGTAAAAAGTACGTTGAAAAATAATTACTCAAGTAAAGTACAGATAACCAAAATTTCTAAGTACAGTAACAAAGTATTTGTACTTAGTTACTTTACAACTCTGTGTACACAGGACATAAAAACGTTTTTACTAATTAACTGAAATATATAATTGTGTGTATTTTATTCGGCCCATGTTTCTCTCGCTGCTGAAGGACAGATCCTCTCAGAGCACACACTGTGTGAGCTCAGATGTTTCTCAGCAAAACACTTTTTAAATAAATCCCTTTAGAAACACGACCATTTATATCTGTCACAACCTTTGCTGTTTACGTCAGGATGTTTTTCCCAATAAAACTTGTATTTTTCACTCAATCTATTAGTGCCATTTTTGATTTTTAATTTCAGCTCATGAGTTGCTGTCAGGGAGTGACAGACAAGTGTGTGGTTACCATGGTGACCCTAATGAGTCATTGGCAGCAATATTTGTTTTGGTGCTGGTTAAACTTTTAACAAGACATTTGTTGTTTTCTGATGCTCACAAACTGTTGGAGGAAAGTTGGAACAGTCAAAAATGAGGTTATTTTCAGATAAACGCACTTGTTTCGATAAAATATGAAACTCAGCAGAACAAGTGCACAACAAACAAGTGGAGCACCGACTGCCAGGAGGAACAATAATCAGATCCTTTAAATGATAACAGCTTATAAAGCTGGACACTGCAGAGCAGAACCAAACCACCACCGCAGCCTGCAGCCCGCAAGCCACATGTAGGCGCAATAATCTGCCCCTTCTTCCCAGTGTGGTGCACCACCGCGGTCTGTGGAAACTTCCCCCTCACCACACAGCACAACTACCCCCAGAGAGAGAAAAATCTCACAAAAGTCCTCCGACACAACAGAGCTGCCCAGGCCCCTGCCTCGCTGCTGCTGTGGCGAGTTCAGGATCAAACCCAGAGCCAGGCAGGAGGTTCAGAGTCACAGAGAAAACCTTACAAAAGTCCACCCTGAGGGGGGAGAGAAAACACCCCCCCATGAGTGGGGAGAGAAAACACCCCCCATGAGGGGGAACCTCTATAAACCAGAGTCAACGCCTGCGCGTAAAAACGTGCGTAAAACCGAACCAAGAAAACTTGAAGCAGTAAGTGAAGAAAAAACACCCAGAGTCAGAGGGATGCGAGTCCACATGTGGCGCTGCTGCCTGCAGCTGGACCCAAGTCTTACCTGAACACCGAACCGAGCCGCATGCTCCCGCGAGTTTCCCCTCCACAGCCGCGCGCGCTTCGGGATCCCAGAGAACCAGACCGAGTTTGTCCCCGGGGTCCGCGTCCTGACACACATCAAGTTCTCCTTCTTCTGTGTGTGTCCGTGTGTGTCTGCGTGTCCCCTTCCTCCTGTCACAGTCACTCCCCGTGATCTCTGCAGAGTGGGAAGGGCTCTGAGAGAGAGAGAGAGAGAGAGAGAGAGAGAGAGA